TGTGGTCACATTATCAGAATTAATATTTGTTTTTTCATGGTCTCATTAGAGAACCTAGCCAAGTAAAACTTGTAGCCATTTAATAAATTGGACTTGTTGCTGATTACGTCGTTTATCAGAGACGCACATTTTGTTCCATTGGGCACACTAAATACATGTTTCAGGACCAATATATGAAAACTCCGATGTAATTAGAGAAGGTTCTGTAGCACGAGTCACAGTCGAACCATTGCGTAATGTTTACCAGAATGAACAACCTGAAGCTGAAGAGGAGTATGAAGCTGAGCCTTCACCCGAGACAGAAGAAGATGAAATCAGTCCCTACATTATGCCTAATAAATCCGATTATAATCTGGCAGAATTGGAAGAGTTTGTGAAAAAGACTAGACCGAACGATGGATTTGATCCGTTATATAAGGTACCGATGACTCATCTCATTTTAGTAGCCTAACATATCTGCATTTGTTATCCTCAAATATATGATGATTGATTTTTAAAAAAGGTTACATTAGTTCATATGAATCCATTGGACGGTTGTTTTTGAGCAATGGGAATGGATCAACTTTCAGGATACATTTCGTTTAAATTTAAAGTTTGTCACAAAATGTTTTACGGTTTGACGTCTATGTTGACCCGATATGAGGGCTGTTCTGTCAGAAAAAGAAATTGGCAATTAACACGGTTATGTCAAGTTGAAATGTAGTGTGTCATGAAAAAATTAATGGTCGACACCTCAACAGTAATCACAATTTATGCGCTCACATGAAATTTGGAGGGTATATTGTCGTCGTGAACACTCTAAAAGGCTCAATTTTGGTGGATTTTCACGAAACTTGGTTTATGTGTTTCTGCGTTTAAAATTTAAAAAATGGAAAACATCTTTAATTTTTTTTAGATCGCAAAGACATTAAAAGGCACAATTCTTCCAAAGATTTTCGCGAAAGTTGGTAAAAAATACACAGGGATGAACCCTAATGAAAATCGACAAATATTTTTATACGGCCTATTCTTGTTCAATGTTTAGCTCGTTAAAGATATAGAAGGCACAATTTTTGCCAGATTTTGTTCAATGTTCAATACCTCACAAGAGAGTTCTAAATAAATGTTAGACTAAAGGAACAGTATATATTATAATACTAATGTTGGACTTGTACTATTGTTATTTAAAATCAAAGCTGCCAGTGAGCGTTTGTTAGCTATCTTTCAAATTTACGCCTATATCTTATATATTTTATGATGTTCATATCAGCAACATTACGGATTATGATAATTGACCTACTTTTACATTAAAAAAAAAATTAAGTACAAGTTATGTCCCTTGAGGTGGAAATGTTTTGAAAAAATCAAGTCATGAAGAAACAGTAAAAAAAAATAAACTATTAAATATTTTTATTATACAATTCAAAATCATTTTATCCTTTACAACAAAGATTATTTTATTTTTTAGGGATTGCCAAATACCTTCACTTCTAGTTACGATATCTCACAATTACCAGAAAACCGCAAAAAGAACAGATTCAAAGGGTATTATCCATGTATGTATTTGTTTAATGGTCGATTCTCGTAACCTTCAGCTGTTACACATTTTCTATGTACATACTAAGTTTATATCAGACAATTGTGTTACCGAGATTTTTTCATGTTGTATTTGTGGTCATAATTTCAGAATATGACTATTTAGCAATCTTCATCATGTGTAAATAAAGGTTGAAACATTCTAAAGAATCATGGTCCTTTTATAGTTCATTGCAGGGCATATAGTATTTTTGCTTTTCGCATAGTGTGTTCCCGGCTATGCTTAGAATATAATTTATCATGCTATAGCGATAAAGAGTCATATCATGATGTATTGATAATGCATCATATCATATTGTTGCTATAAATGAGTTAAGTCATGTTGACTACAAGCATGTCATGTCATGTAGCGATATTGGATCATATGTTGTACATATAATGAGTTATATCATATTATAGCTATATTTCGGTTTTGACTATGTTGAAGAAGTTTTTCTATATTTTGCAGATGATGCTACAAGGGTAGTACTGAATAAAGTAGCCGGTGATCCACGTTCAGATTATATAAACGCCAACTTTTTAAACGTACGTTCTACTCAAATTGACCATTTTGGAAATTGGATTATGCATTGGATCTATTTGTAGCGTTTGAAGAAAAACTTTCGAATTTAAATGAACCAAATAGATCTTCACAGTCCCAATGTTTTTCATTTACGGTTTGGCTTACAGTATTGTCTAGTAAAATTGATATATTAACATTAACTCTCGTGACCAAGACAAAATGGAACGGTTATAATTTGAAAATATTATTTTTGTCTTCAATACAGGGTTATGATGGAAAGACATTTATTGCTGCTCAAGGTAACAACCTACTGTTTCTCAAATCATGTTGCAATAGTTTGCGTTTGTACATGATACTTGGTTGATAAAATAAATCAGGCCGTGATATTGTTATTATATCCATTTTGATACGATACAATTTGTAGTAGATACTTGTAAAGAGTGGAAATGGGCTTGTTACGTGGGCACTTGTTATTAATTAACATAATTCGGTATTCTACACAGGCGCAACACGAGTAAATCTGAATGATTTCGTAAGAATGATCTGGGATATGAAATGTGATAAGGTTGTCATGGTTACCAGAGAATTTGAAGATCGAAAGGTAGTATATTTTAGTACTGGGAGTCATTTACAAAAAATGCGTTACAGGTTGGTCATCTTTTGAAACATGTCTGGTATTTGTTTTGTTGAAGTCATTTCATTGACTGAAGACCAGACCACGAGAAAAAATACATTACCGATCCAAATCGCAATCCGTAATAAATTTCCACAAGCTGCCAAAGACAGTGAGAATTCTTAAATTAATCAAGGTGGTAACAGACAAAGCGAGATGTCAACAGAAGGAATAAATACCCCCACCAAAGTGCGTAACACATACTATGATCATTCATGTAAATAAATACACCATGCACCGCAAAACGAAATCCAAACACCCACCCCCCATTGAAACCTATATGTATTATATGACACTTTTCAGAGAAAATGTGAACGGTACTGGCCATCGCAAGTAGGATCCTCGGAGACGTTTGGTGTAATCAAGCTTACATTAATAGAGGAGATTTACAGAGAGAATTATACTAAACGAGATATTATAATGGAAAGGGTAGGTAACAGTACCCGTGTCACCAGGGAATGCCCAGAAAAGCCAGTCTCAGATGAGCCAGAGGAAATGAAAACAAAACTGATTTAGTTGCAATGAATAATGTTGATTTCGTGCAAGGGATACTTTGTCTGGCATTTGTTGGTACTGATACTTCATTTAAAAATTGGAATTGGAACAATCTGATGGTCTTGATTTTCATCTCTCATCGTGGAATTTCATTTTGTGAATGTTTCATTGTAGGATGGGATGACACACAAGTTCTGTCACTTCCATTACATCAGTTGGCC